CTTTAAGAACTATATAAGATTTAAGATATGAAATGAAAAGAAGAATAAAAACAAAACATCAACTGTGCCTTTAAAGAATTTTATTATCACAAAATATACAAGTAAATGGTCATGCAAAAATATATATTATGAAAAATAAAACTGAATTGGGGAAAATATACCTAGAAAGGATTATTTATATAATTTCAAGGATTAACTCTTCCACAGATAAGTATACTCTTCTTCAAAACTGGGAAACTGAATAAAACAAAAACAAAATTAACTAAAAATGTCTAAAACAAAATAATGAATAATATCTACTGTGAACATATTATTCAATAATAAGCCATACAGTAAAATCAAGAATTCCTATAAAACAAAAGCAGATGTACAAATTCTGAATGCTTAGAAGCTGTACATAATATTCCACAGATAGCTGTGGCATAATACTCTAGTGGCTGAACTCATTTAATGCTTAACACCTGAATCTAAATTAAAATTCATGATACTTAAGGCTTAATAACATTAAAAACATAAACCTAAATTTTATAAAATTTCCATTTCAAAGTTGCCATTTAAAGGTTTTTGACAAGGGAAGGGATAATAACATATTGAAAATAGTAATTTAATGCAAAGGTTATGCTGGACAATTTACTGAAAGGACAACAAAAATCAGCTGTAAAATAAATTATATACCATCTTCAGATTTAAAAGAAAAATCTGTAAAGCCCCCCTTCCAAAAGTAAAAATTAACAAAACAGCATTTGATACTTCCTTATTATAGTGGCTTCCAAAATTTAATTGCTAATCAACCGAAATGGAACATGTAGCAAGGTTTATGTATGGGACAAGTGGCGAGATTTTGACAAAATATCTTGGCTGATTAGCGATTCAGTCTTGGGAGCTTTCATAAGAAAGCATTTGTGTTTGCCTTTACAAAGAAGAGTTATTTATGAAGTGTAAAAAGTTAAGATATATTATCACATAAGAAACTTGAACATTTACTTAAATTACTCTTTCTGATAAATATATACCAAAGAAGAATAAAAACAATTTCCTATAATTGGGGGTAGATGGAAAAGAAACACCTAATTAAGAATGAAAGTTCTGATAGAATGCATCGAAACCTTTGTCAAATAAACTCTTGTCAAATAAAATACTCAAACACTACTGAAAGAAAAATGAATTTTTAACCAGTTATTCTACTACAATGTTCTGTAGTTTTACTTTAAAACTGATGATACATTTAATCTCTTATAACTGATAAAAATTTCAACTGGAAAATTAATAAAAATTTATACTGTAATTACATTAAAAAAAATGACACAATATCCAGAAATCTTTACATTTCCTTCTCAGTATCATGTTTTGAGCTCCTCTGGTTTTTCATAACTTTAATCTGAAATTTCTTTTTTCAATTTACTATAAAGGGTGATTCATATACAATAAAATCCAAAATTTATGATAAAAATGGGGAACAGATAGAAACTGTTGAGAAATTTTAAAAATTTACATGAAGTACCTATACATCACATCATGTGATCAATACACTAAGCCCAACATTTACCTTGCAGAGGAAGATCAAAATCAATCTGGAACCGTAGATGCTCATCTTAGAGGCAATTCAATGCACTTAAAATTTTTTAGACTTTAATGTAGCTCAATCTATACAGATCCTATATATAAACAATGACTCGAACTAAGAGTCAGTAGCTTATGGCCATGTTATGAAAATAAAATATTGCTATTGTTGTTATTATTAATTCCTTTTATACCTATAATTTTACACATTTGACATTTTAACAAGATCTTGAAACTTGAAAATATCAATGCAAATGCTGAAAACTTAACTTTTCAGTTTTTTTGTTTTGCAACAGTGCTTTATTTCCTGGCATTACATTTTACTTCCTTTGCTGCAGCACTGTCCCCATAGTTATATTAACAAAACTTTTTTCTTGTCTGCAAAGGGTTAAACCTTAAATTTTACGAACATAAGTATTATGCTTTAAAAAAATGGCATTTTGAATTTCATAAGTGGATACTCTTGGTCTTGATGTTATTACGTATCTCAGAAATATTTCCAAAGGTAATTTGAAACAAATACTACACATGAACACATGAGCAAATTCAAGTAAATATATTATGACTATGATTAATTATTCTAGAACAAATTAATTATTCTTGAACTAATATGTTTAATTATTCTAGAACATATTCCGGGTAGAGTAGACTTTAAGGTACCCCTTGTATTAATGGCGAAGTTGTTGTTCATTTATGGTAGCCTGAGTAGTTGAATATTATGGAAACCCTATTGTGATGTAATCGGGTGCATGATTCTGGGAAATTTTTAATCATGAGATGTTTTGTAAGCGTTTTTGTGTGTGTTAAAACCGTTTAGATGAATTTGAATGGGTTTGTAGGAAGAAAGGTTCAGATGGTCACTTGTGAAGAGTTCAATCAGAAAAGATTACTCGTTGAAAAAGTCATTTGAGTATGAATTATATTTTGATTTTTACGTGGCTCTGGGTGTACGAAGCGAACTCGAAAATCATGGTAAGTGAATATTTGCTTTTGGTAATGCTTAAATGCATAACATGTTTTTCCTTTTTTATGTTATTTTATTGTTTGGTTTAAAACAGATTTTATTGAGATTATGTATTTTTTGTTTGCCTATATTGTAGACTTTGACTTTTAAGTGAAAATATATCAATGTGTACATGGACAGAGTAAAGGGAGTGCGCAATGCCATTTTTGTGCAATTCGAGGATTTTTTTAAGTGAAAATAGGTTGACGTGTACATGGATAAAGTCAAAGGAGTGCGCAATGCCATTTTTGTGCAATTCAGGGGGTTTTTTTTAAGTGAAAATAAGTCAATGTGCACATGGATACCGAATTTGTGCGATTGTTTGTCTTGTTATTTTGGTTTTGTATAGCGGCGATTTTTCGCGCAAAAATCGCCGCTTTGCAAGCCAAAATAAGGAGTCAAAGAATTGCACAAAATCGGTATCCACGTACTGCCAAAAATCGCCAAGTTTCACCAAGGGGTACCCTAAACTATACTTTTACCCATATTCCTAAATATTGGTCACACACAATTCACTTTGCAGTCCATAGCATCAACATATATTTTAAGCTGGCCTTTAGATGCATCCTAGCTCTTAACTCTTTCACATCAAAGTCGCCCCAAGCACCCGAACATTCTGACAGCAGCAAGTCACCCAAACACCTGAATAATTTCCTACCTAGTGCTTTCCCCCATCACGTTACTGCATCGCTGAATGCATCTTCTTTTTCCTTTGTTTACTGTCAATGTTTAGTTATTGATGCCCAAAGTTGCAATCCTGTCCGAAGGGGGTACTTCCCACAGGGTGAAAGCGTCTGAGAAAGAAGTTGCCGCTTTACTTAAGTAGGTTATTGTTAGCACTGTAGTAATCAGTTTGTCATGGGAGAAGGAAAAGCATTCCAACAGAAATTCATATACATAGGCATTTTCGATGTTTGAGGAAAAGAGATTAGGCCTCTCTCGATGCAAAAGAGCTAAATACACAGTTAAGTATACCACTGCTATACATACTGCATACAATATAAAGTTTTTGATATTAAATGAAACTCTGATTTAAAATCTTCATTTATGTTATAAATAAGGTTATCTTTCTTCTTCATATTTTTTTCTCCTTTTTAATATGTCGAATTATAATTAGGCAATTTACAATTGCAAATCATGAAATCATAGACATATAAATCACACATTAAAACGGAAGAAATTTAAATATTCAAAGAAAGAAACAATAAAATAAACACCCTAAAATAAAACGAGGTATTATCTACAAGAGATTCAGATTACTTTATTTTTACTTAGTTACTTATTTTTGAGATTTCAATACCACAAAGTAGAGGAATACTTTAGTGATTTATTTTTTACACTTATAAATTTGAAATCTACAATAAGCACCGTAGCTAACAGCACCTCCATCTCATGATGCATCTTTCCTCAAAATTATGATTTGGTAGATCTTTTCAATCTTATAAAAGGTGCAACATGACTTTTATGTTAAACCTTTCAATGAATAAGGATACAGTAGTACGCTGAAGAGTCATTAGGTAATTTTGAAGCAAGAGATGTGAAAAACGAGCAATGCCCTTGCTGTGACTGGAACCTGGACGTCTTGAATATGCACCGAATGTGCTACCGTTACACCACCGAGGCATGTCGGAAGGAGGAAGAAAATACTTTATAATGTTTTACTGCATTTAAATTAACTGCTTCTTGCAATAAAAAAAATACTTTTTTGGCTTATATATCATAAATTTCATTTGGTAATTTAATAATAAATTTCACAGAGTAATTTTTCTGACTATGTTATTTATTTTTCAAACATTTTGAAATAAATATTCATACATTAAAAGACTAGAGATGGCACAAAAAGCAGTTTATTTATTCATTTAATAATAGTAATTTTTATATCTTATTATAACTGGCTGTCAAGTACTTTTATTCCCTATGTTTGGCAATAAACACATTTTATAACAGCTTTCAATTACAAAATATATGCCACATATATCATTTGAAGGTGGCAATATATTTAGTAACAAAATGAAATGCACTTAGTAAAGAAAAAGTCAAACATATTATTACAAAGAAAATTTAACAGATCATGAGCACATGAAATTAATCCTGCCTGGATATGAATTATAATAGATTTTCTTGATACACTGATGAATTATAATACTCTTGGTAAGTGATTAATTATGATATTTCCTGATACACGTTCATTAAATAATTACCTTTCAAGAAATACTGGCCTAATTTTTTATATTAGCCGAATAATTTATTATTATTTTAACAAATATGTAAGGACAAAAATATGTGTGTGCAAATTCAAAAAGATATTTAAAAAACATGATAAACTCGTAAAAGTACCTAAATGCTACAGAAAGTAAGGGAAAATAAGTCAGTGCAAAAGCAGCTCTGGTGCTCTTTTTAAACGCGCAAAATGAGAGAAATTAGTTGTTATATTTACCAAATCGGCTTTCTTGCCACTTATCTTGATACCACGTTTACGTAACTCTTGTCGTAGATCATCTTTGGACATTCCTTTATAATCCCTCGCTATATATTTTTGCTTAACTTTTGTGGGTTTTGAAGCCAAACCCTGTTTTTGTTTTCCGGTTATGCTTTCCATAACATCTGAAAGTGTTACAGGAAATAAAGATGATAAAATACACTCACTTATAAAAGCAACAATTTCATGCAATAAATACTTCTGTAGGAACAACACTTAATTTTCATTTACAGCTTTATCTGAAAAATATCACGACATTTTAGTATTAATTTAGTTATTGATTTTAAATTCACAAGATGAACTTCTAGCATATCACAACTAACAGTTACCTATAAACAGACCAGGAAATACAATTTATCTTTGGCAAGTCATATCAAATCTCTGATCAAAGTTCTTTATGATCATTTACACTATCCAAATGTCCGAACATGATTCAAAACAAAACCGTAAACAATGCTAGAAATAGCCATCTTCGTAGGACGCCAACATTGAAAAAATTATTTTTGATATTATGCTGTTGCCATGCATAACAATTTGAGAATTCTGCAGCGGATCAATAAAACTCACGCAATGCTATTGGGTTAAATCATACAAAGAAATCGATCCTTTAATATGCTAAATCTTCAAAAAGAAAATTATCAGTTTTATAAAATGTCCAATATTTCTTTAGCAAATAGATAGACACTACGAGAAAATATTATTAGCGAATTCACATTACATTTTAATTTGGATATGATAATGTGTTTCGTCCAAAACATCCTAATTTTCAATAGAAAATATGAAGATCAGAAAATCAATTCAGAAACCGATTTGAACTACTTTATTTTCACGGCCCCCGCGATAAACCGCCAAATTAATTTTAAAAACGATACTTTCACTTTCATTTTTCACCGTCTATTTGTCGAATTTGATGAAGCGCGTGATATCGTAATAATCTTTTTTCCAATTTAAACATTGTAAAAAATGGTGACAGTTTTTAATTTGCTCACGTGAGGAAGATGCCCTATCGTTTTTTCAGAAAAAAGATATAATACCTCGAAGTAGAAATATCCGTAAATGGTTACGAAATGAAACTATATGTAAACGAAAATTTGTGTAGGTGCAACGTAAAAAGCTGTGAACAAAAGAAGAGCATTCGATCATACAAGGTTAACAGCCTACGTTTCACCTAATGCAGAGGAACTAACGTCGCTCAAGTGGTGCGATAAACAGCTCAACATCTGTTTCATTTCTTTCAGGTTCCAAATAGGAACGCAAGCATACTCATATCAACGATTGTAGACAATATCTTCAAATTGTTCGCGAGAATATAAAACATATGAACTTGAAACGCCTCGTTATAGCCACTTTGAATCATGCATTTAATTTTGTTGATGCAACAACGGGTGATCATACTAAAATGGGGAAAGATTGGGGACTCTGTTAATTGTCGAAACAAAAAGCAAAGAGGTACGGCTCGACATCATCTATATCTTTTCAAATCTGTTTCCGAATTCATATGAGGCTTTCCCAAAGGCTTATCCTTTGGGAAAGATAAGCCTTTCGATGTCGTATTAAAAACAATCGCGAAGATATGGCAGCCCCAAACTATTATGCGAGTAATTTAAATTTGGTGATAATACTAGCACGTTTTGACAACGCGGGCCGTTACAATCAAGTAGTACCATCGACCTTTTTAATTAAATAATTGGATCTTTATCCAGTTTTTTTCGTATGGAATAACGCTTAGAAATGTAAATATTAAACAATCTCACTAGTTGACGAGATTCAAACTCTTTCTAAGTGAGCATTTTCATGCGTTCTATTCGACCATGGCACAGCATTGGTTCTTCGTGATCATCCGATACTTATTCTTCTATTTTTACGAGTGAGAATTATCTTCCAATTATTGAATGATTTAGAGATCTCTAAAATCTAAGGCTATGATCCAGGGCCTTATTATGATGATCCAATGACCAGATATAGAAACTTGAAAACTTTGAAAGTTTTCTTGAATATTTCATGATTAATATAGCATTCAAATTATTGTTCTATATAAACACATCGCTTAAATAGTATTTCAATTAAACGTTAAGTGTACTATTATTATTTCAATAGACAGGTATATCATTGAGTTTAGAATGTAATGCTTTTTATGAAGTTTTACTTGTACTCTAGCATGAATGGACATATAGGGCACTTAATACACTTCTTATGTGCGATAAGCACTGGTACTAAGACAAAAATACAGCTACCATTCATCATTCTGTAAAATGGCTTGGGGATTTAATAACGGGTGACCAGAAAGGGTACCAGCGTTTTCTTTGAATATATAGTGCGAAAGGTGCTAACAGCGGCACTCATGGGGGAGGCATTAGCGTAAGCAAAGTTCGTGAATCCATATGCAAAAATATATTTCTGGGCCTTCACTCTCCATAATTTACAGAACTCCCCCCGAAAAAAAGGAGGGGAATCAATAGCTATTCATTAATTACTTTGGTAGAGGGTAATTTAGTTATTAAGTATTATACCACATGTTTGTAGAATTATAAGTATAGAATTATAAGTACGTGCTTGTACGTAACAAATTAAATAAAATAAAAATAAACATAAGCCCTTCTTGAGAATATAAAACATATTGTCTAACCCAGTGATAGCGAACCTACGGCACGCGTGCCACAATAGGCACGCAGAGCCTCATCAGCCGGCACACGACTAAAATATTACTTAATCAATAATCACAATAAAATGATACTATGTAATTTAAATAAGTGTTTTAGTCTGTTCTTGAACGTTTCACTTACTTTTTTATCTTTACTTACGGCTTACTTTTCACTTAACTTACGTCATTTTAACACCAACAATGAGATTTTTGCCGCACTTTATGAAGCTGAACGGAAGGTGTTTATTGAAGGGAAATTGAGGAATTATAATTACTAGAAAGTTGGTTTTTGCAATTATTTTTCTAAAACAAACCATCTAACAACGGCTTTCAAATTTCACTGTGCCTGGCAAAACATGGTAAACCGCTCTCCGATGAAGATTTTATCAAAGAGGTCTTGGGCACACCGGCTCCGCAAAAAAAGGTTTTGGGCACGCGGCCCCAAAAAGGTTCGCCAAAAGTGGTCTAACTTTAAAACAAGCACTATTTCATCAACAAAATTGTTCGACTATACATAATATTTAAAAACAAATACGTTTGCTGAAGTTTTCCCCTTCTTTGTCCATTTCATTCTTCTACGTCCTTAATTTTTTTCTTTCCATCAGCTTCAATTTTTGGGTAATTAAGATAATACTGTGGTTAACTAATGTGGCAGGATTTCATGTTTCAATAGGGAAATGCAATCAGAATTCGAGTTCAATCCTGGAGGCATCGTATTTTGACGCCGTCTGCTTACATTTACAGGGATGTAAAACGATGATAAATGCATAATAAAATAAATGTCTCATTCATAAATTTGCATCGTGTTAAAATTTTATCAACTTTGTACTATTAAAATTTTTTGATCATTAAATAGATAAGTGAAAGTTCACTTACCTTCTAAATAGGGCTGCCCTGAACTGCCTTCTTTTCCTTCTTGTCGGTATCCGTCTCTATGATGAACTTCGATTCACTGCGAAACACAGCTATAAACTTTTTAAGAAATTTTAATTCGTATGAAAGATATCTACAAAATATTTACAAGTTATAATGATTACAAGCATAATTTATACGGAGACGGTCTATCGTTATACATCTGTTAGACGCGTCAGCCGTTCAACTGACTACTTTTAGTCTCTTTCGCCAGAGGGCGTTCGTGGAAGTAAAGTTCTAGTAAGCAAACGCGACACTCCCACCTTGAGGTCCAGTATCAACAGAGGATGGACCTCAACTGACCTGTAGTTCAAGTCTTTTGAGATTTCGTCATACGTCGAGTTCTGTACCTCACTTGCATATCCGACTCAGGTGTAAAGTTGAGTTCAAGAGGTATGAGGTTCTTAGTAGGTCTTATAATCTCCCCTTGTGCAGTTTTCAGTTTCACTAATCTAATGTGTGTCCGTCGTGGGATGGAAAAATTTCCACGATTCTAGCTAAGGGCCAGTTTATCCTTTTTTCGTTGTTGGACACAATTACAAGATCACCAACTTTCACAGAAGATGGTTCGCGGATGAATTTTGAGCTTTGTTTTAGTTGCCCTAAATATTCTGATCGAAATCTTTTTCGTAAATCTTTTCTCAATTTGGCTCTGTAAAGGTATCTTTTATTGATGGATTTAGAATCCAAAAGATCTAATTCAGGAACTCCAGTCTCTGGAATTTCTGTTAGAAACATTGCTGGGGTGAGAGCTCTTAAATCCTTTACGTCTTCTGACAAATACGTGAGAGGACGGTTGTTCATAATGCTCTCGCAGTCACAAATGATTGTCAACAATTCTTCGTAGTTCAGAGAAGATTTTCCTAGTACCTTTCGAAGAATTCTCTTTAGTACTCCAATTAATCTTTCCCACCACCCTCCCCACCATGGCGAGGAAGGGGGAATAAATTTCCATTCAATTTTCTTAACTGTTGCATTTTCTAAGATAGAATTCCAATCTATGGTCTTAAACAAATTATTTGATCCAACAAAATTGGTTCCATTGTCGGAGTATACAGTGACAGGTCTACCCCTTCGAGCGATGAATCGCCTGAACGCGTGCAGGAAACTTTCGGTTGATAGAGATGAGACTAGCTCTAAGTGAACTGCTCTATATATTGCGCAAGTAAAAATGACGATCCATGTTTTTTGGCCTCCTTTTAAAATTAAGGGACCCGTCAGATCAACACCAATAATCTCAAAAATTAAAGCATCTCTTATTCTGTCTTCAGGTAGTGGCGCTTGAGGAATCTTATATGAATCAGAGTCGAACCTTCGACATCGTACACAGTTTTGGATAACCTTGCGTACGGTCTTCCTACTCTTTATGATCCAATATTTTTCACGCAAAGCGCACATAACGAATTGTACTCCAGCGTGACTTAGCCTTTCATGTTCAGATTTGATCAGTTTTAATACTAATGGATGTTCTGAGGGAAGTAAAACTGGGTAACGAAAGTCAGCATCATCGTCTCTCTGAAAGATACGTGTCTTCACTTTTATAAGGCCATTGGAGTCCATGATAGGTTCTAGAGCACGTATTCTTTTATCTTTCAATCCTTCGAAAGATTCTCGTTGGATGAGTCGGAAAACCACTGTTTCAGCTCCTTTTAGTTCTTCGACTGAAATTCTCCCATGAGTTCTTTCAGATGGTGGTGTTGTAGCATTTTTAATGAATCTAAAGATCCAAGATACGACCTTTATGATCTTTTCGAATTTTGAAATATTGTCAAAAAGGTTTAAATTTATCTGTATTCGTGTTATTGCTGGCTGAAACCACAGTTCGTTTTCTCTCTCCATTTACTATATCGAAGTCAGGATGTTCTCCATCTGCAATAGGCCACTCTTCTGGAGGTCGATAAATCCAATCCTTTCCACCAATTCTTTTCAACCGCGTGATGGCAAATCCGAAGGATTGCCGGGAATG